TTTCATAATTCCGCTCAAAACGATCCCAGAACAATGAATTTGCGAGACGAACAGGCCGCCATGAATCAGGTAAAACAATATGTTACATGCAATTTGATTGGTCCAATCGCTTGTAGTTAACCAATCGCTGGGCCGTTTATAATCGAGCTAAGACTTCCGCAACAAATAATGCCTTCAGTGATCTGATTAGTTGAAGCTTTCATACACGTCCAATCGCAGGGCTGTTTACAAACGGAAAACGGAGAGACTGTTCGGGAGAGCTCGTGAAAACTCGACGATAAGGTACCTGACCGCCCCTAAAATTTTCTCAACGGATTTAGACGATTCACAAAAATGATCAATTTAAGAAATAAAACGGCGGATTTCCGCGGATCCGTGGAAAATTGCCATGTATGATGATAGCAGTTGCAAAAAGAAAAAGCTACAAACCTTGGAGGAAATGGAGTGAAAGTGGTTATTCTTGGGCACGGAGAGTCCCGGCACGTGCGTGATGTCTTCAAAGCTGAAGAAGTACTGCAGGACAATCAAGAGGTTGCCGTAGGCCACCATGAAGGGCGACGACAACATGGCGTAGCGCCGACGGTCTCGGACCATCCACAGCATGCACGACCAGATGAGGAAGACGAAGGTGAGCCACGAGATGTATGTGATGCTCCACGCCTAGAGAACCCATGGAATTGTTTTTTTTTTCATATGATTTTAAACCTCCCACACGCTTTGAACATACATTAACTCATTAAGTTTACAACTAACAAGCTCACCATCATGGCGATAAGTGCGCAGATGTAGCTCTGTTTCATGATGAAGTGGAAGACTTTGACCACGGCACCCACGCCCCTCTTCCTCAGGGAATCCTCGCTTCCCTCAGACTTGTCCTCTCCTGACGGTGGTTCCCCGTCCACGGGAGGAAGATTCACCTCATACGCGCACATGTCTTCCTTCTCTGCTCCGACGCACAACAGACCCAGACGCAAATTATCCTTTAAAATGTCCGGTGAGAAAACTTGGTCATTTACCCGTAGACTGACCTGTACAATGACCGATGGACCGCTCTCCTTTGTACTGAGGGGTGGAGTACAGGTCCAGATAGCGTGGACCGTTGTCACTCAACGTGAAGTCAAAGGATGTTCCGTTGGAGGCTAGCACAACCTGGTTTTAGGGGGGGGGGGGAAGACGCAATGAGTAAAGCATGAAGGATAAGTAAGATGTCGCCACAGAATCTCACTAAATTGAAATTTTTAAAAATACAATCAATGTAATTTAAATATATCAGTCTAAACAAGTCAGCAAAGCGTGGACAATTGGTAAAAAACAAAGTCGTCAAGCAAATCTAAATTCAATTTGTTCAGCAATATAACAAGGGAAAGATGGGGAAAGTAAGCAAAGCAAGTAAAGGAGAGCAAGTAAAGCGGGTAAAGGAAATGAAGTGAAAGATGTAAAGCAAGTGAAAAAGTAAATACGGCAAGTAAAGCAAGAAAAGCGAGTAAAATAAAATCTAAAAAAGTAAGTGAAGTGAAGTGAGTACACAAAAAAGTAAATCAAGTAAACAAAGTAAATAATCAAAGCAAGGCAAGTAAAGCAAGCAAGCAAAGAAAACAAGCAAGCAAAGAAAGTATTCCAAGTACTGTAAGTCCATTTGTAAATGTTGCAAATGTTACCTCGGTTGTACTGATGGCATCCTGAGTGCAAAGCAACTACAGTGAGAGGAAAAAAAGAGCAAATGAGACATGGTCGGTTATGACTCCTTTGCACCTTATGATAATATTATGATCTGTTTTATACTTGACAATCATCTTATGAATGGTATGTTGAGCGCAGGAACAAACAAAGAGATGATGAAGTGCAGCTTGAACTTGCCAAAAAGTGAGTTAAATTATTATGATACCTTTGGAGAAACTGTTTATGAAATCAACCCACATTTTTCTCATCTGTGCCTTGCCTGGATTCCCACCACATCTGCCTCTTCCTGTTGGCTGAGTTATTTGTCCTGTTTCCGACCAGCTCATCTTCCTCGCACGCGTCTTCCTCCTCGTCATCCTGAAACAACACAGATAGAGGCTGGGCGTCTTTCATCTTTGGATCGGATGCGCATCGGAAAACATGAATCTCTGCAAGAGTTTATTTTCTGCCGAGTTTAGTTTAGTCGAGTTTAGGAATAATAAGAGTCTCTTTCACACAAAAGTCCCTCAAAACTGTGGCGGTACGGCTGCAAAAAAAAATAAAAATAAAATAAAAAAAAACGCGACCTGAAAATCATCTGTCTATAGCAGACGATTGCTTTCAACACAGCCTACGGGAACCATGTTGGTGACCCCTGCTCTAAAGGTGATGTTAAAACTGTCAAATTCTAAAATTATTGCAAAATTGCCACAACGAATCAGCAACACAAAACCTAGGTTCCGCGCACTTAACACTAAGAAATGCTGATTGAGTGCTGACATTACTGTTACACTAATCTTGTGTGAAAGGGGCTTTGCTCGATTAGCCTAGACGGAGGTACCAAAGTTTTATGACCTAATTAAAAAAAAAAAAAAAAAACTGAGAAATTGTAAAACGAATCGGCCATAAAAGAACACAAGGTCCATTATAATCTGATTATTGAACACACGCGTCAACTGTGGATTTATGTGCGCACCACGTTTTTATCATCAGAATCTTCTAAAGTGGACACACACACACTAAAGGGATCAATACATGGATACAGCCCTTGGAAGGCTTACAAACAAGCACCATTATAGATCAGAGGGGCAACGCTTCAAGCTATAGGGTCATTTTAAAAGAAGAAATCTTAATGTCCACAGTGGAACGTCCTCCAGACAATATATTGTGTTGAGACACGGTGCAGACTTGCGCGAATAAAATAGGTCTGGGGGTCACTTACACTTCTTGCAAATCGAACTTGTCCCGATCATTTTGTTCAGCTGTAAAATGGCTCCAGGTTAGCTGCACTCTTCACTTCTGTAAATGTAATGTGTCCCACTACATTTGCCCATGTAGTGAAGCCTTTCCCTTAAACTTTCCAAAATGGCTCCTGTGTCAGCATCACTTTTCACTTCTTGTAAATGGCATGTGTCCCAATTCTTGTGTACCTATGGTGAAGCCCTTTCCTAAATGACTTCTCTGTAAGTTTCACGTGTCCACCCTCGAGTCCATTCCACAAAACTTCTCAAAATGGCTCCTGTGTTCGTTTCACCTTGCACTTCTTGTCGACGCAATTCATTCATATTTCTGTGTCAATGTTATGGAAATACGCAATACATTTATTATTAATCGTGTTCGCATGAGGGGGGCTTACGGTCAGCTGGTCGACAGGCTCCTGCAGCCAGAGGCGTATGAGTGTGGCTAGTGTGTAGTAGAGAAGCAGCAGCATGACAGGGTTGACAAAATGGTGCCACCTGCGCTTGGGGTGTACCATCAGCTTCCACGTGCGGCCGCAGTCGCTCTGAATGATGGGTGACATGCCAAAGTACCTGCAGGAGAGGCACACGCACGTGAACAACCTTTTGGATGTGTGGATTGGTAGCCACCAGGAGATGTTTCAGATTCCGCATAGAATGTAGAGTATGTAAGTAAATTTTTCTCCACACTTTTATGTGATCATGACCTAGGCTATACTTTAAACTTGACATCTGTATGTTAGGATGTTAAAGAATTCTTTTCAAAACATTGTGTATGTGTGTGTGTGTGTGTGTGTGTGTGTGTGTGCGCGTTTGCGCTGTATGCGTGTAAACGTGTGGTCCAGATGTGAAACAATGTGGTTGTTATGACACAAACCACAGCGCAACAGATTGTCTCCTGGCTCATGCATAATACAACAAGAAGGGTGCTTGTAGTAGAGCTCTTAAAAGCTCTGCTCTCCGCGCGCGCGCACCGAGTGGGTGAGTCCAATACATCCACCCTGCAGCTGCTTTTGTTGATGTTTTGTTGCCTTCTTCCTGTCTCCAACAACAAGTAAATATTTGCTGTGCTTTAAACAAGCTCCTGCGGCTCCCCAAATGTTATGGTTTGTAATAGGCTTAAAAGGCACTCATGCATTAAGGCGTTAGCTCCTTCCGGGTGTTTTATGGGTAATCAACAAACGTTGCCCCTATACTGTATTGCTTTAAGCGGAGTGTATTTTACAAAAACAATACAAACAAACAACGGTGTGTCCATTCATGTTGTTTGACTCAAAAAGAAATCTTTGAGCCACAACTCCTAAATTTATCTCATGGCGAAAATCAAGCAATATCCCGAAAACAGGAACAGTGTTTTATTCCGCAATGTAAAATTGTTTGTCCAGTGACCTTATGTTGCTCAGTACGTTTCAAGATACATTTGTGGGGTTACATGGAGGGCACTACTGTGGACCTGACCTGATGTACCCGTCTTCCGGCGTGACTGACTCCTGGAAAAACTGGAACTGGTAGAGGTAGAGGACCACCAGGTGGCCGGCACTGAAGATGGCCATCAGCACACACATGCAGCTGAACAGCAACGTGTCGAAGGTGCGGCGCAGGGACCACCAGGTGCACAGGAATAGGAAGATGAAGAAGTAGACGGCCGAGGTGAGGGAAGGAAGCATCATCCCTAGGAAAAAAAAAAAAAAACGCACACATGATGGATTGCGCTGAGCAGCTTTGGCGGGAAAATGAGGCCTCACCTGTCGTCCCTAACAAGATGGTCACCACCACCTTCCCCGCCGTGGTGATCAGGTTTCCGATAATCTCCTTCACTTTGGACGCCACCAGCGCCACCAGCCGTAGGACCTTCATCTTGGCGCTCTCCTTGGCTTCTTCGTCCCCCTCGCACGCCTCCACCTCTTCGTCTTCCTCGGCCTCGTAGCCTCCGTCCGAGTCCTCCTCCAGCAAGATGTGGTCTTCCAGGCTCAGTTTCTCATCTGCTTCCTTTGAGTGACAATGAAGAACTTGAGCTTGTCACACAAGTGGCAAAAGAAGTTAAACAGTGTTCATATAAATGGCTGAACTTGGATAAAAAGTGACGACGCAGATAGCGCACCGCAGTTTTAAAGCCTTAATTGTGAAATAATTACCTTGCCGTCTTATTTCGTCATAATATAATACTGATATATTATTTGTAATATTTATTTACAGTGCTTTCAACCATGGAAAAATATGTTGTTATATTTATCCAATATAAACTGTATCATAAAAATAATGACGATCATAACAATAAAAATCATGATTATTTAATTATTTGGTCACAATGTCTATCTATATTGGAAGATTATATCGCTTTCATTTTATTTACCTTTTATTTTAAATGATTAACGATGTAACTTCAGAAAATTACATTGAAATTGATATCCGTCCTCTTGGAATCATTTTTGGATAGCAAAGAGTCAAGAAAAAGCAAACAAGAGTCACGAGTTAATCATCCTTTGATGCTCGCTGAACCGTGGCCTGATACACAACGCCACACACGACCCTGGTCGGAATTCCGCCATTTTCCGCGACTTCCAAAGCATAGTTTTCCCCCATAAAATAGGCCGATTACACAGAGGTGAGCGAGGGGCAAACGTCAAATTCGCACTTGTTCCTCCGCTTGGAAGTGGGCGTTGTCCTGAGCCATGTTCTCGGGTGGCCTCTTCTGGACCAGCTTGCGACACAGAAACCAGATGGCCCCGCCCACCATGCACATGCCAATATCCGGTACGAAGACTCTGATGCCGTTTCCCGCGTCGGCACCAATCACGCTTGAGAAGACGAAACGTAAAAAAAAAAAAAATTAGACAATCTTGCTAGACTGGAACACATCAGTGAGGAAAACAATAGCTCTTCACATGGGGATTGTTTCCATCTATTCAAGCGTTTTTTAAATGTGCGCTGAATTCTTTGGTTTTATATGCACTGAAACCAATAATGAAACAACGCCAACTGCTTTAAATGCATCGCCGTAAACAAGTGACTAATCACGAGAGACTGGAGGGGGGGGAAAAAAAACATGCTCGGGGCAAATCCTGCGCCATATATAATCATAAAGACTTTTTTTTTAATCATTATAAATTAAATCAAGATGTGTGTGTGTTGGGAGGGTAACTACCAAAACAAGAAGTTCATGCGTCAGCTACAATAGTCGTGAACTTGGCGTGACTTGCTGGGATTTAGGGGTGCCACTTAAGGAGAATGTTTACGAGGCGTCATGATTGTTCCAAAATGACGACCGGCTTTCCAAAAACTTTTATTGGCGGCTTTTTAATCATCCAAACGATTGTTCCTACTTCTGTTTTTTGACAAACGCAGCCTAATTAAACTGTTGACAATAAACCCGAACGTGCCATCCATCACACAAATTTTGGATTTTTTTTTTTTTTTGATCATCGAGTATGAGGTTATATTCCCCACATACGTAATCGAGAAAGTCCACATCAAGACCCCTTCACTGGATGTCGGACTCGATGTGGTTTGTCCAAAAATACATTTACGCGGGAGAGACTTGAAGTTTATAGTTTGGATTTAAAATATATCTTTTGTGACACCAGGGCTAAAACGTTTCGGACAGACACTTGAAGTAGCGATGGATAAATAATTTAGGTGGAAAAAAAATTTGTCAATTATTTAATTTGCGAATTATATCTGTCAAACTGATGCTGGATGTGTAGTTGAGTCAGCTTCCACCATACGATATTTGTGTGTCAAGTTTGGGCTCGCTAGTCAAAAGTAAAAGGAGCTTGCCTCGGCATACATAAGTTCATCGTGAACCCAGGTACAAATTTCTGCAGCTAGTAGTTGGGGGGCGGGCGGGGGGACACTGGCGCGTCTGGACATTCCCGTACTTGGGAAGCCGCAACTAACGGGATCAGTGCGCACAAGCAAGCAGACGTGGCGGCAGCCTAACTGGGTTTAGTTTTCATCAGGAGGCCACAGAGGGACACCAAAGTGCTTTTTACCGTCATTGTCGGGTTGTTACACTGCCTGGAAAAGATGCCGTTTTTCTGCCGTTCGTTTTCCCTGTGCTGTCGTTCAGTATAAACAACACGGAACGGGGCAATTTTTCACCACGGGTGGTAGTCGAGGTCAGGATTTTTTCGGGTGTTTTTCACTGTCAGAAGAGAAATGCGACGTTCCGCAAACTCACTTCTCCCACCCGATTGCGTCGAAAGCAGTTGTCACTGCCCGACTATTTTACCATTGCATCATTAGTATCCGTTTGTGGGCTACTGTTTCGCTGTATGAAAGTAGATAATTCCCAATTTATGCTGGATTCTATGGAAAAGGCACGGAAAGTGTTCATCTCTGATGCATCAGTTTTGAGGACCCCCCCAATTTACACGAAATGCGGTCACACGTCAGGATTGCGCAAGAAGAATTCTCTTCTCGCTGACCCGGCCCTTCACCAAAGCATTCGTCAGTCTCGCGGTTCCTGACAACCTGATTGCTCAACTGCGAGATAAAGCGAGCGCACCCTCCACGCGCCAACCTTTAGAGTCTTCAGCAAAATACAATGAAAGACATGGACAGTTATGTTATTGGACGCACATTTGTGGTTGGACTTGTGCTTACAGTCTTTACCTCTCAAATCCAATTTGCCGGATGGATTTTTCCCACGCAGAACCTGCATGTCAAGAAAATGTTTAGTTAGCATTATTTTGACTAAAACGTATATGCAAAAAATAAGTTACTGTCATATATTTACACACACACACACACACACACACACACACACACACACACACACACACACACACACACACAGTG